AAACCCAACCGACAGACCTACCGAGTGCATCTGAGTTACTGAGAAATGCAGAGGTTTTTTTCTCTGTTACCACGTGCGATATCAAACATTCCACCATCATTAAACACAGTCACTAGCTGCGTCCCAAATCGCATACTCATGCACTATTCTACGCCATTTTGTAGTATAAATAGTGTAAGTAGTGTGTTCACACTGAAAACTCTAAAAATAATAAGTGCACTTTAATTACCCGGATGATGCACTCATTCAGCCGCTAAAATGAAGTGTGTAATGATGGACACTTCACGCTCTCTAAGACCGCAGGTTTGCTCACGTAGCGGAAGGAGCGGAGCTATCGGGCGCACATGTTGAATAACTTTATTTATTTTGGATGGTGAAAGCAAAATTCTCCTATCAGAGTGATTATAGCGCCTCCCGATGGTGAATGCAGTTACATTGACGGCAGGTATTATTTGATAATTCGGTCGTTTATTTCACTGATTTGGCAACCGTCAAACGTCATCAAGGAAACGGTTTGAATTTCCGCTTAGTTAAAAAACATGTGCCATTTGGGACGACACTGCATAAAAATACTATACTGTTGAGTGAGTAAGTGCATAAGTGCATAGTGCATGTGTGCAAAGTGTATAGTGTGCCATTTGGGACGCAGCTACTGTCTTTCTCTCCTGCGTGTGTTTGTTTTTCCTCAGTGAAAATCAGCGTGTGCCCAAATGGAAACTCCTATTTGTATTCAAATCCTTCCCCTTTTCCCTCTCCTGACACTCCCACCTAAACAGAGCTAGACACACCCACTTTCCTGACTTTTTCCAAACTAGAGATGTAAAAACACCCTGCTGAAACGGAAGGTTTCATGGCCCATTAAAAGCAACAAGTTGATTTTACTTTTAAAAAGGTCAGTAAGACTTAACAACTCATTTTTAATAACTGAATTTTTTTTATCTTTGCCATGATGACAGTAAATAATACATTGATTCATTCATTTTCTTGTCAGCTTAGTCCCTTTATTAATCCGGGGTCGCCACAGCGGGATGAACCGCCAACTTATTCAGCAAGTTTTTACGCAGCTGATGCCCTTCCAGCCGCAACCCATCTCTTGGAAACATCCACACACACATTCACACACACTCATACACTACGGACAATTTAGCTTACCCAATTCACCTGTACCGCATGTCTTTGGACTGTTGGGGAAACCGAGCACCTGGAGGAAACCCACGCGAAGGCAGGGAGAAGTAAATAATATTAGACTATAGATATTCTTCAAGATGCTAGTATTCAGCTTAAAGTGACATTTAAAGACTTAACTAGGGTAATTAGGCAAGTCATTGTATAACAGTGGTTTGTTTTTAGACAATCGGAAATAAATTTGACTAATAATTTTGACCTTAAAATATATATTTTTTTATTATAAAAAAAAATACTTTTATTCTAGCCGAAATAAAACAATGAAGACTTTCTCCAGAAGAAAAAATATAGGAAATACTGTGAAAAATTCCTGAATCATTTGGAAAATATTTGAAAAAGAAAACAAAAACTCGAATCATTTTGACTTGAACAATATTTACCGTAGCATTTTTATCGTCGTAATCAATGACAGTTTTTATACTGTGTGGAAAATCTGGGATGAAATAGCTACTGCTTTGAAACTTTTCAAAAGGGAAGATAAAACACGTGCTGAATCTTCTGATACTGACGTCAAAGGCTCCAGTCGCACCCTGAGAAGCAGTTATTCTCAGATTCACAGCTGTAGTCTGTCAACACAACACTTCACACCGCACCGAGCCTTCGAATGACCTCTCCACAAAGAAAACTGTCTGCTTTTAAGCGATCTGAGATGGAGTGCGTTTCACCATTTCAGTAACTGTATTCAGATCAGATAGAGAGCAACAAAATGGCCTCTCGCTCGAAGGAAGCTGAGCATCTCGTATCTATTCTGCTTGTTGGAGCTGCTCCGTCCACAAAATTACCCTCTCCAAAATGTGGACAGAGGAGCAAACCCCTTAGCTCATATATCCAGATTGTGCCAGTATGACTTCGGCTTCATTCCAGCTCTTGATATTACAATATTATTACTCCGTAAACACAGGGTATAATATTATCCCATGCACTGAGGATAAAAAATAACACTTAATAACACATATCTGTTTGGACAAACACTGACTGTAAAAAAAGTGTAATAATAATTAGCCGATACAGAACAAGTAGAATTGTCTACAAATATTCAAAGGCAAGTTTTTATAGCACATTTAATAGACAATGGTAATTCAACGTGCTTTGCATAAACAAGAATAAAAGAAACGTAGCACTCAGGTAAAAACAACAAAGAATAAAAATGATTAATAGCAGATATGAACAACCCTTATTCTGAAAGCGTACCCCTGTATACATTTCTAGAGAGCGCCAAATATGTCCCAGGAGCTATGTTTTTTTTTTTTTGCAGTTTTTGTTTTTTTCGCAAATCCACCAGAGGCCGCTGTGTACGCTTTTTCAGATCTCAAATGTCTTTTGCGAGTGACATTCGTGCCTGCTGTTCTCACGTAAATCCACCAGAGGCCACTGTTGACTGACTGACCAATCGACTGACCCTCCTCCTTTCCTAAACCCAACTGATGGTCATTTCAAAAGCAATCAAAAATAAGAGCAAAGCCCTTGCTTAATTTTTACCAAGTTTTCCAATTTTACCACATTCTCATCCTGTTATTTACTCGTTTCATTTACTTTTTGGTATTTGTTTTTGTCTTACCTGCTCTCTGGATTCGTTCTTCACCAGACTCAAACCCCGTCGTCGCAGTGAGCCACTAGGCAAACTGGTAACAGCAGGGAAAGCCATCCATACGGAGGTAAGCGGTCAGCTGGTTGAAGTGCGAAAAGGAACGGCGTCATACCACCCTGTAGCGTTCGTTTTAAAGTACGTACTTCTGGCTACATAATTTGTGATCTCCAGAAATGTATATAGGGGTACGTTTTCAGAATGAGCCTGGGTTCCTGGCTGCCTGCATATTGCAAAAATACAACTTTTCTGAGTGTCTTCGCTTGCACGATTTATTCTGCAATTTTTTAGTTAAAAGCAGTCACAAAAATTAAAAAAAAAATGTAATTCTGAGCATTGTGGTGACCAGAACTTGCAGGCATGTTCATGACCCTAAATAGCCAATTGTGTTATGGGTAAACTGAAGCACAACATTTTGGATAGCAGAATAAAGTGTAGCAGTATTGTAAATCTCTTATTTTGTTTTTTACTCCTGATAAACCCCTAATACAGTTGAAATTAAATAAAAATTATACACCCTCCTGTGATATTTTTCTTTTCTTTTTTAAATATCTCCCAAATGATGTTTGACAGAGCAAGGGGATTTTCACAGTATTTCCTATAATATTTTTTCTTCTGGAGAAAGTCTCATTTGTTTTATTTTGGCTTCAATAAAAGCAGTTTTAAATTTTTAAAAACCATTTTATGGTCAATATTATTAGCCTCCTTATGCACTAATTGTTTTATCAGTGACATCGAAGCTTTTGATTTTAATAGCTTGAATATTATCAATAGTTATAATAATTTATTCGCAGATTTGAATCAACACAATTCTTGAAATTTTTGGGCGACAACTTGAGTGGTTTATGTTCGATCAACTCAAATTTGTAAAAACAATTAAGGTAACCTAATTTGTGTTGCGACAACATGAAGAAATTGTGTGGAACCCAGTATTTCTACACTGAATGATTTACGCCATGATTTTGTGTTTTAAGGCAGTGTTTTAGTACACATCACGTGACATTTTAGTGTCATTAAATCAGAAATTTTGTAGAAAAAAATTGTAAACTTAAGATAATTGCATAACATCTACATATTTGCTTACACGTGTGATTTAAGCAACAATTCAATATTTATAATCTCATAAATCTTTGTTTATCAGTTACACCTGGAAGCTTTTGATTTCAATAGCTTGAATATATCATTATGACATGATGATTCAATCGAAGATACGGATCATAGAGAATTTAAGGAGTTTTTACAACAGGATTTTGTGTTTTTAAGGTTTTAGTACATCACGTGACATTTTAGTGTCAATAATTCAGCAAGTTTGTAGAAAATGTCATAAACTTAAAATAAATGCATAAAATTAACATGAATACATTATTATTTGCTCACACGTTTGATTTAAGCAACAATTCAATATTCATATTCTCCTAAATCTTTGTTTATCAGTGACACATGGAAGCTTTTGATTCCAATAGCTTGAATATTATCAATAGGTATAATAATTCATTCGTAGGTTTGAATCATAGACATTTTTAACAAGGATTTACGTCATGATTTTGTGTTTTTAAAGCATGAGGGCAGTTTTAGTAAATATCACATGATATTTTTAGTGTTATTAAATAAAAAATTTTGTAGAAAATTTCATTAACTTAAAATAAATGCATAACATCAACATGAATACATGATTATTTGCTCTCAAGTGTGATTTAAGCAACAATTAAATATTCATAATCTCATAAATCTTAGTTTATCAGTGACACATGGAAGCTTTTGATTCCAATAGCTTGAATGTTAGGTATGATCATTCATTTGCAGATTTGAATCAACACAATTGTTGAGATTTTTGGGGGACAACTTAAGTGTTTTATGTTCAATCAACTTAAATTTGTAAAAACAATTAAGGTAACCTAATCAATTTGAGTTGGGACAACATGAAGGAATTGTGTGAAACCCAGCATTTCTACAATGAATGATTTACGTCATGATTTTGTGTTTTTAAGGCAGTGTTTTGGTACACATCACGTGACATTTTAGTGTCATTAAATCAGAAATTTTGTAGAAATTTTCATTAAAAAAATTAAACCTAGACACGATCATTAGCTCACACACGTGATTTAAAAAATCCATCTTTATTTATCAATGACACGCATGGAAGCTTTCGATTCCAATAGCTTTGGAAATTTCCCAAGATTAATACTGGCGAAGGCTGCACTGAAAGAGCTGGGGAGGAAGCCCGCGCCTCAGTGACGTTCATTCTCCATCAGGGATCTTTGTTTTGCATCGCTTCCCGATTTGCATTTGTTTCTCAGGTTTTCCATCCGACGCTCCAGCCGCCGAAAAGCCCCGCGCGCGCGCAAAGGCGCATCCCCCCGCGAGCTCGCGTCCGTTCACGTCTACAGAATCGGGAAAAGTGGGAATAACCGCGAGCTGAAAGGAGGGAAATTACATGTATTCGCCCCGCGTCCCAGACATCACCATCCACTCGCGGAGACACGTGCGATAGAGGTAAACAGCCGAGAGATCCGCCTGGACGAACCCCGATCCATTCAGCAGCAGATATACTGTAGCGTACAGCATGTCGGATGTATTGCCGTACAACGAGGACAAAATGACTCATTATGGCAACGACGGCGACGAGGAACACCTTTCCTTCACCTGCCGCCTCCAAGACACTAACAACTTTTTCGGTGGCAACCAGAATAAACGACCACCGAAGCTCGGGCAGATCGGGCGAAGCAAAAGAGGTAAGAGACTGAGCCTGTTTGGTGTATTATTATTATGATAATTAGTATTGCGCGAACAAAATGATCCATGTTGCGTTTGATATGTGGTGAGAATAACCAGCTTGATGTATTGCGCCATTTGAGCTGTATTAAAATTCATGGCAACATGGAATCTCCATCTTTGTGCCAGCGCGCAGCGAGAGACAATAGCTGCTCCGTGAGATGGTTTCTCATCATTCAACCATGTCTGTTCATTTACAGTGGAGGAAGACAACGATGGCGAAGCGCTGGACAAGAGCACAGAGAAGTCCTCATCAGCGTGAAGGAACCCAAAGACTCTCTGATGTGTACATCCAAAGACTCTCTCTTCCCAAGCACTCCACGCATTCTCCCCAAAATCTCTCCATTGTCCAGGGTTTACATTGTGATGGACTGAATTAACCTGGAAGATTATGGCCCAGCAGGGGGGCTTTGAAGGAATACTGTGTTTTCCAATCTACTCTCTCCGAGATATGTGCAATGACAGGGCTCGGTCTCATTAAGCAGCAGACCGGGCTCTAATGTAGTCTTTTGGTTTCTAATGAAGCAATTCGATAAGACTGAGCAAACCATATACCATTAACACCCAGCTAGTATCTTCCCGCTTGTAGCTTACTAGTGGTGTTAATGGTATTCTAGCAACGTCGACCCTTTTCTTCCATGGTGGACCTTCAAAGAGGCTCCACCACGTATGTAAAAACACACACAAAAAAAAAGCTATTTATTAAATCTTTGGATACCTATTTTGCAGTGTTGAAGGTTGAGCAAACGTTTTATATATAGAGAACGACGACGATGACGAGATGCATTGGATTAATGTTTTGTATGTAGCTAAACTGTGATTCTCGTGATCCATTTCATTCATTTGATGTTTGATCTGGAATGTCAGTTTGAGGACCTTATTGTCATAAAAAAGCAGCATATTTACTGTAGATGTGCCAAATTATCCTGAGGGAAACATATATCGCTGTGCTTTCTTGGTGTGCACAGGTTTATGAATATTCGGTGGTCATGTTTACAGGGCTCTTTCATACTTGTGATGTATTCTAGTCATGCATGACGAAACCTTAAGACCTCAAGAACGTCTTCTTGAAATATATAAATATATATATATACCGTATTTATCTCACAGAACATTTCTACAGAATATCTGTTATAATAAAGATTTGGAGAAACAGCTTGATTCTTGAGTCTCTAATGCTCCGTTTAGCCCTGGTTAAATCTGTGCGTGTGCACAAATCCTGGGGATGTGACATTTTCCGCCTCTGCCACAAGCTTTAAATGATTCATGGTCAGGGATGAGCATTGTCAAAGCGCACCGTTTGTAAATCCAGTCCGCTAGGATCTGAGGAAATCACGTGGCGTGTCAGAGCAAATATTATCTGCAAACTGTACGAGTGAGTTTCTCAGAGCATCTCCCGGACCTTAAAACACAGGCTGGATGGGCTGCCATGGCAACAGAAATTTCAACCCCCCTTTCTGAAATTTCCATTGTGTCCACTAGGGAAACAACAACAACGGAGGATCTGGCAACGTGAACTGCATCTGTCCTGAAGTGTTATTTGGCTGCGTTCATAAACTGATATGGATTTAGATGGCTTGCTTGTTTATAATTCCCGGCTGATTTATCGCATTATCACTCTGCAGTGCCCACTCACCCACTCAGCATATGCATAGTTGAGAAATATGCAGTATATAGGCAATATTTGTAGAAAAATATCTCATATTTATGTAGTTTGAAGTCTGATGTTTGAGAAAAAAGATAAGGGGTCAATAGCTTCACTGTTTTCTTCTGTAAATCATGCCCAGCAAGCATTTTTTGTGTTTAATAGACATCTAATAAACGTTTATGCATAGTAGGCTTGGCTAAAACAAGGCTAAATTTGGGTTGTCAGTGAACATCTAATAGACATCTAAGAATAGCCCAAAACTAGACTAGTCATCAAATGAACAGAAATGAATGACTACACATATACAGTCTGTCTAATCTGTCCATTTGATGACTAGTCTAGTTTTGGGCTATTCTTAGACGTCTATTAGATGTTCACTGACAACCCAAGTTTAGCCTTGTGTTAGCCAAGTTGTCTGTTTAGATGTCTATTGAACACAAAATAGTTTGTTGTGTTGTTAGTGAATTGTAAGTTAAATGGATAGTTCACCCCAAAACTATTTTTTACTGACAATTTTTTCTTCCTCAAGTGATTTTAAACCTTTATGAGCTTCTTCTACATCGAAGAAGAAGAAAACGGAAACAAATCCCAGCAAAACAATTCTGTGTTGAAAAGACGTCTAATAGACATCTAAATGCAGACAGCTTGGCTTAAACAACCCAGCAAACGATTTTGTGTCTAATAGACATCTAATTGTAGACAGCTTGGCTTAATCAACCTAGAAAATGATTTGTTTAATAGATCTCTAATAGACATTTAATTGTAGACAGCTTGGCTAAAACAACCCAGCAAACGATTTTGTGTCTAATAGATGTCTAATAGACATCTAAACATAGACAGCTTGGCTAAAACAACCCAGCAAACGATTTTGTGTCTAATAGATGTCTAATAGACATCTAAACATAGACAGCTTGGCTAAAACAACCCAGCAAACGATTTTGTGTCTAATAGATGTCTAATAGACATCTAAACATAGACAGCTTGGCTAAAACAACCCAGCAAACGATTTTGTGTCTAATAGATGTCTAATAGACATCTAAATGTAGACAGCTTGGCTAAAACAACCCAGCAAACAATTTTTTGTTTAATAGACGTCTAATAGTAGACAGCCTAGCTAAAACAACCCAGCAAACAATTAAGCTGTCTACGTTTAGATGTCTATTAGACATGTATTAAACACAAAATTGTTTGCTGGGTTGTTTTAGGCAAAATCTGTCACTGGTGTGGTACCTTTTCAAAAGGTACAGTTTTGTACCATACGAGTGGACATTAGTACCTTTAGGCTACACTTTTGTACCTCGTAGGCATTAATATGTAAGTTTAAGAACCTGTTCGGAACAAAAATGTATAAAGGTAGCACCACAGTGAAAAATTGTGTACCTTGATTTCTAAGATGGATGAAAAAAAGGATTATTTTAGCAAACAGAAAATGACTGTTTACTAAAATAGCCACAAGTTAGAATCAGTGTGCAAATTATACAGTGATGATCAGGGGGCTATTTTGGTTAGTTTGTGCAATACATGCTTCAACCATTTCTGTATTTATTTTTTTAGTTAAATCTAGTCTGTTAATTAAACATATTTGAGTTTTCAGCATTTTGAGGGATGTTTTGTGTTTTCTGACCATCAGTTTTCTTTGATTAGCTATTTCAGATGTGGTTGTAGGTCAAACTACACTATAAAAAATTCGTAATTTTACAGTTTATTTCCGGCAGCTGGGGTAAATCACAGAAATCTACTGTAAAATACCAGAGGTTGAACTACAGAAATGTACCAGAAATTTATATGAAAAAAAAAAGAGCTGACCGGCCCACATTTAAAAAATGGTCCGGGCCTTATGGCATTTGCCAGAATTACCAGATGGCCAGTCTCCCCCTGCTCATTCTGAATGATTACACCCAGGGCCGGCGCGTCCATAGAGGCGACCTAGGCAGCCGCCTAGGGCGGCAGTATAGAGAGGGCGGCGTCTGCGACACCTCCCTTACCACCTGCGTCCTCAGTTATGTCCGTGACACCTGTCCCACGTCCTCAGATATATTCGCGCATAGACGATAGAATAGAGAGGGCGGCGTCAGCGTCACCTCCATTAGCACCCGCGTGTCCTCAGTTATATCCGCGAATAGGGCGGCAGAATTGAGGTCCACGACACCCGCGCGTCCTCAGTTATATCTGCGCATAGGGCGGCAGAATAAAGAGCGCAGTGTCCGCGACACCTCCCTCCCTCAGCACCCGCGCGTCCTCAGTTATATCCACGCATAGGGTGGCAGAATAGAGAGGGCGGTGTCCGCCAGTCCGCGACACCTTCCTCCCTCCCTCAGCACCCGCGCGTCCTCAGTTATATCCGCGCATAGAGCGCCGGAAAAGAGGTCCGCGACACCTCACTTTATTATCATAACCGGTCACTTTCGTTTTCACATTGGGGTTGAGGGCGGCGTGATCGCCCTCTGCCTAGAGCGGCAGTTCAGCTTCCTCCGGCCCTAATTACACCCGCAACACCGTAGGATTGTCAAGGACTAATTACACACACTATTTAAGCAGCACATACACTCACTCCAGTCGCAGAGTCATGTTAACATCTAGTGACATTACAACGCTTTTACTTTGTCTTGTTTTCCCGTGTTTAAACTCTCGCCTTGTTAGTCTGTTTATCCCTGCCTGCTGCCTTCCATCTGACCTCTTGCCTGTTACTTTGACTACAGTTATGGATTGCCTGTATGCATCTGTTTGCCCTTGTATTGACCACTGCTTACCTGACCTTGCGTGCGGATCCGCACCTCTGTTGTCAGTGTCACTCCCCGATTACAATTAGCCCACTTAAGCAATATTCGATCGTCTACAGAACAAACCACTGTAACACAATGACTCGCCTAATTACCCTAACTTGCCTAATTACCCTAGTTAAGTCTTTAAATGTCACTTTAATCTGAATACTAGCATCTTGAAGAATATCTAGCCAAATATTATGCACTGTCATCATGGCTAAGATAAAGTAAATCCGTTATTAGAAATGAGTCATTAAAGCTATTATGTTTAGAAATGTGTTGAAAAATCTCCATTAAACAGAAATTGGGGAAACAAATATTTAGGAGGGCTAATAATTCCACATATTCCAAAATCAGCATCCTTAAAGTCACCCGAGGACACTCCATCCAATTGGAGACAAAGAGACGTTTCCTAAAAAGCCGAGTTGTGCTATCAGTCCGAGTTGTGCTATCAGGCCGTGACATCATGCGTTTAAAAAATGTCAAGCAACAGCGAGGAATTCAGCTAAATAACGTTAGCTGGCGTCAGAACACATTATGTAATGCACAAGGGAAGTCTGCGCTCGGCGGCACAGGCTGTGTGGTGCTGGCTTTGCTGGAGACATGCAAATCATCTGCTATTTGCATTCTGCTCCTGTGTTGTGCTTTTGTTCCAGCGGGGGCCATGGGTTTCATGGGAGCCCCGACCAACACCATATATGAGTCACGGAGATGGATGCCTGCAGCGGCTACACCAGCAGAATAGGCAAATTCTGTGGCGCTTTTGGAAAAGTCCAGCGGAAGAGAGACTTCGCTTGCTGAAGTGTGAATCTGGAATGTTTGTTTTGCTGATGTAGACTGTTCAAAGACTGCTGAAACCAAGTCACGTTACTTTATTTATCGTCATTTGGTGGTGTTGACTAAAAATCGCAATTTTAAACATTGCAGTCAAAGATTTGATACTCAAAAGAGAAGAATTAAATTGATATTTGGTTGAATAAAACCTCATAAACTAATTATTTTAGGATGAATTAAAAAAAGTAGACAAACATACAATAAAAATATATGTATTTTAAAATCTATTTATACTAAAATCATGAAGATTTTGCATGAATGGTTTAATTAAATACTTAAAATAAACACTATATTTTTGTTTATTTAATAAAGCTACATTTAAACTCACTGGCCACTTTATTAGGTACACCTGTCTAATCAGCCAGTCACATGGCAGCAACTAACAATGCATTTAGGCATGTAGACATGGTCAAGACCATCTGCTGCAGTTCAAACTGAGCATCAGAATGGGGAGGAAAAGATGATTTAAGTGACTTTTCTTGGCACACTTTGGGCACATTAGTAGCAGGATAACGCATCATGTCATAAAGTGTGAATCATCTCAGACTGGTTTCTTGAACATGACAATGAGTTCACTGTACTCAAAAGGCCCCCACAGTCACCAGATCTCAATCCAATAGAGCACCTTTGGGATGTGGTGAAATGTGAGATTGGCATCATGGATGTGCAGACGGCAAATCTGAGATTTGATTTTTATATAATCAGTATATATGTATGTATTTATTTTTACATCTATAAAAAATAAATCTGCATAAAATAAATTAATCACTATATAAAATAAGCATACTATCCTTTAAGATTGTCTATAATATATTGATACATCATTATAAATAATAACCGTTTCAAACATTCATTACCTAAATCTTTGTTTTACATTTAATATTTAACATACAATATGCATAATATACAGG